AATAGGCACATGAAAAGATGCTCATTATCGCTAATTATTAGAGAAACGCAAATCAAAACTACAGTGACGTACCAACTCACACCACTCAGAATGGCGATCGTTAAAAAGTCTACAAATAATAAATGCTGGAGAGGATGTGGAGAAAAGGGAGCCCTCCTACACTGTTGGTGGGAATGTAAACTGGTGCAGCCACTATGAAGAACAGTATGGAGTTTCCTCAAAAAACTAAAAATAGTGCTACCATATGATCCAGCAATCCCAGTCCTGGGCATATATCCAGACAAAACTATAATTTAAAAAGATACATGCACCCCTGTGTTCGTAGCAGCATCACTTACACTAGCCAAGACATGGAAGCAACCTAAATGTCCATCGACAGACAAATGGATAGAGAAGATGTGGTACAAATATACAATGGAATATGACTCAGCCATAGAAAAGAATGAAATAATGCCATTTGCAGCAACATGGATGGACCTAGAGATGATCATACTAAGTAAAGTAGCTCAGACAGAGACAAATATGATGTCACTTCTATGTGAATGTAAAACAAATTATAAAAATAAAATCACTTACAAAAAGAAATAGACTCACAGACTTAGAAAAGAAACTTATGATTACCAGAGGGCAAAGAGGGTGGGGGAGGGATACATTAGGAGTTTGGGATTAGCAGATACAAATTACTGTATATAAAGTAGATAAACAACAATGTCCTACTTTATAGCACAGGGAACTATATTCAATATATTCTAATAATCTACAGTGGAAAAGAATGTGAAAAAGAATAGACATATATATATATATATATATATGTGTAACTGAATCACTCTGCTGTATACCTGAAATTAACACAACACTGTAAATCAACTATACTGCAATAAAAAGTGTTTTGTTTTGGGGGAAAAAAAGACGGAAAGAAAAGTGAAAGGACACTGATGCCCTACACTAGCTGCTTACAACAATAATCAAATCTGGGTAAAAGCTGGAGAAAGATGATACACTATAACTCCTAGGAGATAAGGAGAGTATCTTTGTGACCCTGGCATAAGCAAAGATTTCTTCAACAGGACACAAAGAGCGGTAAGCCTCAAGGAAACAAAACGATGAACTGCTAATCTCTAAAAGTAAGAACTATTAAGAATGTGAAAAAAATAAAAGTAGAAAATACTAAGATGAAACCAGCAGATGACTCATATACTCCACATATAAAGGACTCTTGCAGGACAGGCTGGCTAAACAGTTGAAAAGGGCTTTGAAAAACAGGAGCTCCATTGCCAGTAAACTTATGAAAAGGTGTTCAACGCCTGGATGACCAGAAAAATGCAGATTCAAACAGCACTGAGCCATCACGTCACACGTACCGGAAAGGCTCAACTGAGAAAGACGGAACATGCCTCATGGGGGAAAGCATGTGGGGCAGTGGGGACCATCTTACCCTCCTGGTGGGAATGTGCATTGGTCCAGCCACTTTGGAAATTCTCGGTATCTTCTAAAGGTCAACATCCTCTATGACCTAAGAATCCCACCCTCTGTGGGGGAATGGTGTCTGCATCAACAAACATGTATTCATAGGCTCTTCACAGCAGGGCCATTCTGAATAGCCCATCCCTGGAACAAACCAAATCTCCATCAGCTGCTGAAGAGATCTGAACAAACCAAATCTCCGTCAACTGCTGTACCAGGGACGACTATGCAGTGATATAAATGGATGAATCACTGCTTCCTGCAACAGGATGGACGGGTTTCCCACATGCAGTGTTCACTGTGAGAAGACTAATGCAAACGGTATGACTCCATCTGTATACCTTCAAATACACGTAAAACAAATCTTCAATTTTAGGAGTCAGGAAATGGTGGTTACTATTCTGTGCTTAAGATGTTTGCACCTCCCGTGTGTGTACATTTTCATTTCCGTACATGAGATGTGTACATTTTCAGTATTATATTAATATGTTGTTTTATTAATATTAATATGTCATATCGACATACAATTCTAATTTGAAATTGATAAAGACAGTCATCCTTTGGTACCCACTGGAGAGTGGGGATTAGATCCACACCCTGGATACCAAATTCCAGGCTGCTCAAGTCCCACAGTTAGCCCTTCGTATCTGTGGGTTCTGCATGCTTGGATTCAACCAACTGCCAATCTTAAACATGGTACACAATCCACAGTTGGTTGAATTCGCAGATACAGAACCCACTGATGTGGAGGGCTTGATTGTACAATAGAGCAAATAAATTTTACAATTTAATATTAACTTAAAACTATCATTAGGGCTTCCCTGGTGGCGCAGTGGTTGAGAATCTGCCTGCCAATGCAGGGGACACAGGTTCGAGCCCTGGTCTGGGAAGATCCCACGTGCCGCGGAGCAACTAGGCCCGTGAGTCACAACTACTGAGCCTGCGCGTCTGGAGCCTATGCTCCGCAGCAAGAGAGGCCACGACAGTGAGAGGCCCGCGCACCGCGATGAAGAGTGGCCCCCGCTTGCCACAACTAGAGAAAGCCCTCGCACAGAAACGAAGACCCAACACAGCCAAAAATAAAAAATAAATAAATAAGTTAAAAGAAGGCTCAATATTTAAAAAAAAAAACAACTATCATTAAATGTCATAATATGGATATTAACACATAGTTTTAATTTAATAATTAATATTCAATAAATAAAATTTAAATTAACATATGATAGTAATAAAATATTAACATGATTGGTAATGTTATTTTAGCTAGAGAATGAATTTCAGCAGCTTGGAAGAAAATTCTGGAACAAGAAGAGCTCCAGCACCAATACCCCCAATGGCTCGTGAGCCGATACCCTGAGTAAAACAGCACTTCAGAAAAATAAGAAGAATTTTTAAAACTGCATTCTTGAAACAATCTATTGTTTTTTGCTTAAAATAGAGTTTATGTCTTAAAATGCACAGAAGTGATAAATATAAAAATGTATGTCAAGTAACTCTAAAAATACTATTTCGATAATGCAAAATAAATATTCTAAGAGTACAGAAAACAAAGAAACAAAAGGAATTTATCCCAAAGATAAAGAGAAAAAAGGATCTATTCTAAGGGTGACTGTTCATTGCAGTATTGATTATAAGATGGAAATTCTGAAGGCAGCTAAATGTTTGACTGTAGTGGTATCATTATGACATAATATCCACCAAGGCAGCCATTTAAAAATGTTATTAAAAATACCAACAATGTAGAATGCAAATTAGTATTTTATGAAAATGTGTTGTGCTTTACAAACACACACATATACATATAAAACAACTGAGTGAGAAACAGAGGTATAGGAGACTGCTGAAAGAAAATCCAGTAAAATGCTATTTCCATGAAACGATATTGAGAAGAGAAACGGCTTTTTTATTCTATTTTCCAAATTATTTGCATTATAGGTCTTCTAATTTAGAACAAGAATTTATACTGCAAAATAATGACTGTCTTAAGTGTTTGGGACACAAGATCAGCCTTCTTAGGAAAGACATGAAGACAGGTCAATATTCCTGAAATGATCAAATGTAAGCAGCAGATTTCAGTATGTGATACAGATTCCTGGGAATGAGAGGCAACCCATTCAGACTTCAGAAGAGCAAGGCGCTTAATAATAATTTTTTAAAAAGCATGTGTTTTGTTCAGCTACTGTTTCCTTAATATCAATAGTGTGGCTTGACGGTGACATTTGCACAAGCACCCTTACATCACAGCACTCTTCAATGCAAACAATAAATATAAAACTCTTAGAGGAAAACATAGGCAGAACACTCTCTGACATAAATCACAGCAAAATCATTTTGATCCACCTCCTAGATTAATGAAAATAAAAACAAAAATAAACAAATGGGATCTAATTAAACTGAAAAACTTTTGCACAGTAAAGGAAACCATAAACAAAATGAAAAGACAACCAACGGAATGGAAGAAAATACTTGCAAACTATGTGACTGACAAGGCATTAATCTCCAAAATATACAGACAATTCACACAGCTCAATATCATGAGAACAAACAACCCAGTGAAGAAAATGGGCAGAAAACCTAAATAGACAGTTCTCCAAAGACATACAGATGGCCAAGAGGCACATGAAAAGATGCTCAACATTGCTAATTATCAGAGAAATGCAAATCAAAACCACAATGAGGTATCACCTCACACCAGTCAGAATGGGCATCATCAAAAAGTCTACAAACAACAAATGCTGGAGAGGGTGTGGAGAAAAGGGAACCCTCTTGCACTGTTGGTGGGAATGTAAAGTGATACAGCCACTATGGGGAACAGTGTGGAGGTTCCTTAAAAGGCTAGAAATAGAACTACCATACGACCCAGGAATCCCACTCCTGGGCATATACCCTGAGAAAACCATAATTCAAAAAGAGACATGTACCACAATGTTCACTGCAGCTCTCTTTACAATAGCCAGGACATGGAAGCAACCTAAATGTCCATCAACAGATGAATGGCTACAGAAGATGTGGTACATATATACAATGGAATATTACTCAGCAATAAAAAAGAATGAAATAATGCCATTTGCAGCAACATGGATGGGCCTGGAGATGATCATACTAAGTGAAGTCAGACATAGAAAGACAAATATCATATGATGTCGCTTATGTGCGGAATCTTAAAAAAAATGACACAAATGAACTTATTTACAAGGCGAAAACAGACTCACAGACTTAGACAACTAGCTTATGGTTACCAAAGGGGAAGGGTGGCTGGGAGGGATAAATTGGGAGATTGGGATTGACATATACACACTACGGTATATAAAATCGATAACTAACAAGGACCTCCTGTGTAGCACAGGGAACTCTGCTCAGTATTCTGTAATAACCTAAATGGGAAAAGAATCTGAAAAAGAGTAATACACGCGTGTATGTGTAAAACTGAATCACTTTGCTGTACGCCTGAAACTGACAGAACACTGTTAATCAACTCGACTCCAATATAAACTAAAGCTTAGCAAGAACAACAACAAACAGAAGCATCTGCCCACCTTCGGTCTTTTTCCAGTACACCTTCACTTGCAGCTGGTTGTCTTGATAGAAGGGAGCTCCGATTCCCAGGAGGTGAGTGGGCCGTCGTCTTTGAAATGGAGGCTGTATTTGCATCACACTTTTTCTAGTTTTCCCAAGTTGTTCTACAACAAAGCACAACATTCTGATTTGTTAAATCTGTAGGGCTTCCCTGGTGGCGCAGTGGTTGAGAGTCCGCCTGCCGATGCAGGGGACGCGGGTTCGCGCCCCGGTCCGGGAAGTTCAAGCTTTCTTCTTTTTCAGAATGAGGTGACAACTGTGTGGACTTCAAAATCCATTCCTGAATATAAATTGATGACCAACAGATAAAAAGCAAATACACTTGTTTCCTTTCACCACAACTCACCTGCAAAAATTCATTGAGTTCAACCTGTCCATTTTTATTCAAATCTACTTCATTCAGAATTTCATGTAGTGTATTTTCATCCATTTGGACACTGATACTCTAAGTAAAAGGAAAGCACAAAATAATGAAGTTTCATTAGAAATTATGCGTATCACTTTATCAATGTTATCAGCCTTTCAAAAATTCAGAGAGAAATATTACTTATAGAAAGCACTAGATGAGAAAAAAATTATCTAGTATAATCTTTACATTCTTCTGCTATCAAAGATGTTGAACCAAAAAAAAAAAAAAAAACTGTTACCTGATAGTAATCCCGGTGTATTTAATTTCACTCTGCTATTCATTCATATTTAGTGCCTGATTTTTAAAGTAAAATGTAATGTGACTACACGTTCCTTCCCGCTCAAGTTGATGACACCACCTCCCCCGTCATCACACGCTGGAATGCATACCTAAAAGCAGGCTGTATATATTACACGGAATCCCCCGAACTTAAATTGGGAATCAACATACATTCACCAGCCCGGAAAGATGCTCCGATTTCAGGAATAGGTGGACGTCGTACTTCTCACAATAGATAGACTTTTGTGCGGTTATGAAGGAAATGAAGTGATATAGTAAAATACCATTTCATGAAAACAGTATAAGTAGCTTTTCACAGAAGTACCAGCATGTTACGTTCCTGCATCTTTGGAGCCAGATGAGAATTTATACGGCTTAGTAGGAAGTATACCGAAAATTCCTGCCCTCACATCTCTCCTTTACCAGTTCACTGATTTTAGAAGTTGTACATTTAGAAATTCCGTCCTTGGAGACGAGACTTTTCTGCTTTCAGAATTCCAAGTAGCCCTTTGAGAGAGAACAGCTTAAGCTGTATTGATTATAAAGCAGTCAGAAAAGCGTTATCAAAACGTTTCCAATAGCGCCGTGAGGTCTGCATTCTTGGGAAGGTGGGAGGAAGAGGGAGAGATGAGGATGAAAGCAGAGAAATGCTGACCTGCGGTGACTCAGGAGAAGGAAAGGAAAACTGAGGAGCCAGAAGAGGAAATACATCGGGTGTGTACTTATCCTTACAGGGGTGTGCCTGTCAAACCATCCATGCAATGGATCTGATTAAAAGGAATGGGATACTTACATTAGTTGGTACTTACATTTTAGTTTAAATAATTCAAATGAATGTTTGGATCACTCTGACATTTATTAGGTTAAGGATTCTGCACCCAAAAGCAGTGTGTGTATGAGGGGTTCCCCACACCACCAATTCTCAGACCCCAGCGGGGTGTCCTACAGTTCAACTCAGTTCTGACAGTTTCTACCTGCAGACAGCATCAGATCCCACAGGGTAAGGGCTCAGTGCTGCAAGACTGTGCCCCCCGCCTCAGATGCCAGTCACGAGTCCAGGTTGGCAGCAGTGCTTCTGATGACCTGCTACAGATGGGGGGGTTCCAGAGACCCCTTCCTCAGATTCAAATAACTTGCAAGAGCACGTCACAGAACTCAGAGAAAAGTTTCACTTTTGCTAGATTTACCCGTTTACAGTAAAAGGATATAACTCAGCAACCTGAGTGTCCATCGACAGAGAAATGGATGCATACGCAGTACATATATACGATGGAATACTACTCAGCCATCAAAAAGAATGAAATAATGCCATTTGCGGCCACATGGATGCACCCAGAGATGATCATACTGAGTGAAGTCAGTCAGATGGAGAAAGATCAATATCATATGGTATCACTTATACGTGGAATCTAAAATATGACACAAATGAACTTATCTACGAAACAGACTCACAGACGTAGAAAATAACCTTATGGTCACCACAGGGGAAAGGGGGGAAGCGGAGGAATAAATTAGGAGTTTGAGATTAAAATATACACACTACTCTATATAAAAGAGATAACCAACAAGGACCTGCTGTATAGCAGAGGGAACTATACTCAATGTTTTGTAATAACCTATAATGGAAAATAATCTGAACAAGAATACGTGCATGTGTATAACTGAATCACTGTGCTGTACACCTGAAACTAACACAACATTGTAAATCAACTATACTTCAATTAAAAAAAAAGAAACAGGGGGCTTCCCTGGTGGCGCGGTGGTTGAGAGTCCGCCTGCCGATGCAGGGGACACGGGTTCGTGCCCCGGTCCGGGAAGATCCCACATGCCGCGGAGCGGCTGGGCCCGTGAGCCACGGCCGCTGAGCCTGCGCGTCCGGAGCCTGTGCTCCGCAACGGGAGAGGCCACGACAGTGAGAGGCCCGCGTACCGTAAAAAAAAAAAAGAAATAAAAAAAGAAACAAACACAAGACAACAGTAACAAAAAAGACTGTTCTGGGGATGAGGATCTATAATGTAGAAAAGCTTGTACAGAAATGTTCACATCAATATTGCTTGTCATGTAAGCCCATATTTAGGTCACGTAAACAAGAACATCTATCTCCAAAGTTAATAATGCCTAAGCATAAAATCTGATTTGGATATATGAAAAGTGAGTGGGAAAAGAAGGAGGTAAGTCAGGAAGAGGCAGATGGAAGTGATGCACACGGCAGGGTGTGGGGAAAGGGGGCGGAGCTTCCACGTCTGAGGGTCTAAGGGAGTCCCTCCCCCAGCATGCGTTCACCACCGCGGAAGCTCTCTGAACCCCATCTTTCTGGATTTTTAGAGAGGCGTCAGCACAGGGGAGTGCTGATTAAATTACTAGCCACTGATGGCTAACCTCCGTCCTCAGCTCGCAGGTGGAGGTGGGCGTTCTGGGGGCCAGGAATGTGCCGAGACCGGATAGCAGGAGGCGCTGCTTCCCAGCCTGCAGACGCCAACGCAGCGAGCCTGGAGCCCAGAGGAGGGCCTGGGACGCGGAGCCCTCACAAGGCTCCGCCCCCAAACGCATCCCTTTCTAGACACCACCAGGCGGTTAAAGAATCCTGCTGCTTACACCTAAAGCATGTTTCTTTTAAAGAATTAAAGGCTTCCGATTTTCACAAGCCCATTTATGCTTCTAATTCCTTTAAGAACCTGTGATGGGAAGAAGTCGCCAGAAGACTCTACCAAGACAGTTTAGATAACCGTGTTTAATCTCTCTGTGAATTCTGTCTTCCTGCTGTCTTTTATATGATGCCATGGAAACATTCATTTCTCATTACAGACGTAAGAATGTGTGAATATATATATATATACACACATATATATGTGTGTGTGTGTATATATATATATATATATATATATATATATACATACATATAAGTATATATCTCAAGATTGAATCTTTGCTGCTTTATTGAATATTTCCAGCACAGACACGCATGGACATGCCCCATCCCCCATGTAGGGACAGTCGTGATAGTTCAGTCCTGGGAGGACGTTCTTGACTTGGAGTGTGTCCTCCACTTTCAGCAGGGAACAAAAATGGAA